AATCTCTTCTCCTTAGCACAACAATACACCCACAACAAGACACACTAATCACCCATCTACAGAAAAAGACAAAAGCCTATCTCACAGCCATAAATACTGCACTCCCTAGCCAACTACACCAGAGCACAGGTTGCTGTCCTCTGAAGATGCCGCCCACAGAGACTGGCGAAACGTCACGAAGAACAACCTTCAGACCAAGAGCCCGAAAAACCCACAACAACCAAATAAATAAAACATTCAAATATACATACGAAAGTCAGATACTCCAGTAAAAAATACAGTTGAATGTCAAAGCAGAGTAGATATAAGGTCCTCATGTTCCCTCAAATAAAGTGGAACATTCCATTGTCTACTGGGTTTTCCCCAAATGAGTGAAATATCAGCTTCCCAGCTGCCAGACCTCTGTCTGCCCCTCAACCTCTATGGCTTATATTTGCATTTTTTTTTTTGAAACTGTCGCAGTGATGAGTCGGTCCTCAGTCCACACCCACCACTAATGCTCTTAGCAGTGCAAGCAGGGTCACGGGGGGAAGAATAAAGGGAATACATCTTTGGAAATCAATACCAAATTCAGGGGAATGGACTTCCCTCCGCCTTTTGTTGGGGTTTATTGCAGGTGCCCGTTGCATGGCTTTTTAGGTCTCCACTAAATGAAACAAGTGTTGACGGATGAATCCCTTCTTTAAGTTGACAATGCACTTTGTTTCCATTACCTGCGTACCAGCAGAGCTACAAATTGCTGTAAGTAGAGCAGCCGGTAATTCGGATTGGGTGCTCTCCTGAAATCTCCTTGGATTTTATTCTGTACTCCTCCTGCACTCATTTGTTTTTGTCTTGTCTTGTTTTGTTTTTTTCTGGACGTGTCTCTTTTATTCAAGAGAATCAGATCTTTTCCCAGACCCATTTAAGAAAATGCAGATAGTTGAGTGACTACGTTTCGAAGCCAGTTGTAAGCCATATTGTAAAAGAACCTTGTTAAGATCAGTACGTTTTATTGGTCCTAAACTTTCATGGAAGGTGGCCCACTTCTTTGGAATCAAACAACTTTCTAGCATTCTGTTACGTTTCTGCAAGGAAGGGTCAGATCTCAGACAGAGACCGATGTACATTACCTCTCCTTAGCGTGCTATCTGGACATAAAGGTCTATCAGGGCTAAGCACCTGGTAAAAGAGGTGGGCTGTGAAATCCCTGATTTGGTCCGATGATAGAACAAGAACGGGCTAATTTGCCAAATCTGGGTCGAGGTAAATGCTTGCTAGAATAAACAGGAAGTCTTTTCCTTGTCAGGGAAATCTGATTTTAATGACATGTTAACTGTATTGCCTAATTCAGCCCCAAGAAACAAACCAGAAGTTCAGGTGGTATATCATCATCATTTAAGTGAATTCTGACTTATGGCGACCCTTTTTAGAGTTTTCCAGGGAGAGAAGACTCAGACGTAGTTTATCGTTCCCTTCTTCTGGGGGGCACCTGGGACAGTGTGCATCTTGCCCGAGGCCACCCAGGCTGGCTTTTCTCCCAGGACCTGGGATGGTGATCATCTTGCCCGAGGCCACCGAGGCTGGCTTTTCTCCCAGGAGGCCCAGTGAGGGGGGATCAATCTCCCAACCTCTGGCTCCACCACCAGAGACCTAAACCACTGAGCTATTCAGCCAGCTTAACTCACTGAGTGACCCAGCCAGCTAAGCTTGTATAGATAGAAGCATAACTAAAGAACTGATTCCACCTCCTCTAACTTTGAATTCCTTTGATGTTATACCAAATAACTACCTAGTAGAACATATTTGCCTCCAAGTAAATTTGTTGTTGTTTAATTGTCAAGTCATGTCCAACTCTTTGTGGCCCCATGGACTACAGCATGCCAGGCCCTCCTGTCTTCCACTGCCTCCCGGAGTTTGGTCAAACTCATCTTGGTTGCTTCGATAACCCTGTCCAACTATCTCATCCTCCGTCGTCCCCTTCTCCTCTTGCCTTCACACTTTCCCAACATCAGGGCATTTTCCAGGGAGTCTTCTCTTCTCATGAGATGGCCAAAGTATTAGAGCCTCAGCTTCAGGATCTGTCCTTCCAGTGACCACTCAGGGTTGATTTCCTTCAAAATGGATAGGTTTCTTCTCCTTGCAGTCCAGGGGATTCTCAAGAGTCTCCTCCAGCACCACAATTCAAAAGCATCAATTCTTCGGCGGTCAGCCTTCTTTACGGTCCAGCTCTCGCTTCAAGTAAATTTACCCAACCCTATGTAAAACAGAACTCTTACTTAGCCTATAAGTGTTTACACAGAAGTAAGTGTGCCTACGTTCCATGAAGCAGGTTCTCAAGTAAGTGATATATCAGATTGCAGCCTTAGAAAACATTTTTATTGAGTTTTATAACTTGCGGCTCAGACTTGTGAAAGTTACTTTAAAAATGATTCAGTAATTAATTTCAGTTACAGTTGTTGTTGAGAGGTGTGAAAAATACATCCTATATTATTATTGGCCAGGATCAGAATCAGTGAATCAATGGATACGGATCCAGCGGATACAGGGGTCTTACTTATATAAATAATTTCTATTTTAACAGAGTACAGTTCAAAACTAAGATCGGGCATTATTAAAACAAATCTTTGCAGAATACAAGTATAATTATTAAAACACCGCTGCTTAATTATGAAAATGTCATGTGTTGCTAACGGTCCCTCCCCCCTCATTTCTCCAAAACATTGAATGTGAGGCTTCTGTGTGTAATCGATCCACGTAATGAGCTATGCAAAGAGAATTTTTCTCCTTAATCTCTCGCCGACAGCGTTAAAAGTAATGTTAAATTGATCAATGGTGCATTTAGGCAGAAAGCAGCCACTGGGCTCCAGATATTAATGTGCCTCTTCCCATCGTAACAGAAACCTGTGGTGGATCAGCGGTGCAGGAAATATGGGAGACAAGTCAATTTTTATGTCTTGGTGCATGGTAGGAGGCTGATGAATTACCTCACTCAGAGGATATAAAGAACGGGCTACTGGTTATGGCAGTTTTGCTCAACCTTTTTCCAAGCCGTGACCCCCTTTTATAAAACCCAAGTAAACTGCGACCCCCCAACACTACCATATTTCTGTGCTACCACCATGGTTTTCTCGTGGATTATGTTTTATTGAACCCAGTAGGACTGACCTCCGAGTAAACCTGCACAGGACGGGGGCTACTAATCGGCAGGAATGTGACATTGCTTTGTCAACCGCAAGAGATTTGCCGGCAATGATGCTCTTCCAAGCTTGCCTCTTAAAAGTTAAAGCAGCAAAATGCATTTCAACAAAATCAAGAGAGAACCCACAGTCCAATACGGCCAAAAACAAACAAACAAACACCAAGGCCATGGTGGCAAAGTCTCAAACTGTTAGGTGAACAACCCGTTTCACCAAAAGCCCAGCGTTGGTGCCAGGCAGGCCTAAAAGGGGAAGATATTCCACATCATGCTGATGGGTTCTGTAGTTGCCAAAGCCTCACAAACACTGTGTTATGGTCTCCTTTTGTGAATTTAGATCCCTCACTTCCTCCCTCCTTCAGATGGGAAGAAACCACAAAGGGAGTTGTGTCCATTTTTTAAAGTACACGCCAAGAAAGTAAAACACGTGCGCTATTTATTCCTCAGATAGAGCTTGGATGGTTTTTGCGAATGATGATTGGTTGATGGTTTTCCCGCCTTGAGGGTTGGACTCGATGGGCCCCTTCCGACTCATTGAGTCCATCGTTCTGCCGAGCAGGACAGGAAAGCAGGTTATCAAGGGGAGCTGAAACAGGTGGCTGAGACACCCAACGAGAGTTGAGTACAGGAGTTGCTCTCGCATCCTTTCTGGTAGCCAAAGAAGGAAAGATTGATTCGGGAGATTTGGCCAGATTGCAAGCCAAGGATGCTTTGTGGATCTTTCATGATGTCCTTGCTGGCTGAGGGGTCCTGGGCACTTCAGTCCAAACAAGTCACTTTTCCAAGCTCTCCCAAATCAAGGAGCACGGAATGTTTGAAGGGGCACCTTCAAGACCTTCCTAGACTAGAATACACCCAAGGAGCACCATTTGCCCCTGGAGTAAGTAGCTATTTTTATTGAGCCAGGGAACCTATTTTGTACTGGTTATACAAGAACTGCAGTTCAACAAAATCAATTGAGGCTCCAATACTTTGGCTATCTCATGAGAAGAGACTAGTCCCTGGAAAAGAACCTGATGTTGGGAAAGTGTGAAGGCAAGAGGAGAAGGGGGCGACAGAGGACGAGATGGTTGGACAGGGTCATTGAAGCGACCAACATGACTTTGACCCAACTCCGGGAGGCAGTGGAAGACAGGAGGGCCTGGCGTGCTCTGGTCCATGGGGTCACAAAGAGTCGGACACGACTTAAAAACTGAACAACAACAAAATACAAGAGCTGCAGAAAGTGTCTCTTTTAGAATTTCCCACCATTAATTACAACTATGGTGAGGGAAACAGAGCGAACTCAGACAATTCCCAGATGGAAGACTCAGGTTTTCTGCTACCCTTCCCTCCCCGGCGAAGCAGAAATATGTCCATTTCAAAGAATGGCCAAATGGGGAGAGATGTGTGTGTGCGAGTGTGTGTGCGTGCGCGCGCACATGCACGCACATGGCCTGTGCCTTTTCATTAGAAGAACTGGGTTGTTACTGCCAATCCACAGCTGCCTGAGCTTGTAACCCTTAAACATCAACCACAGCTTCCTGTCCCTCTCCTGATGCACATCTAAGGAAGGTGCGCTTGGCGAATTCCATTTTGCCAAGAACTTTTGGATTTTGCATCTAAGAGTAACTTTCCTGACAAAATCCATCTTGTCATGAACTTTTGGACTTCTAAGTTCTCCACATGCCCAATGAAGTGGTCTTTGATCCACCAAAGCTTGCGTATTGTGTGATTATTTTTTATTTGGTCTGTAAAGGTATTGCCTGTTCTTGCATTTGTGTTTTATTTTGTGTTGACCATACGGCTCTTCATAAACTCTCTTTTTTTTCCCGTTGTGCAGATTCTTTAAGGAGTATTCCTGCAGTAAGTCATGGCCCACGTTCATCTCCAGCCGAGCTCAGCGGCTCAAACCAGCGGCTGCTGCGGGAGCGCAAATCTTCAGCCCCTTCGCACTCCAGCCAGCCCACCCTCTTCACTTTTGATTCGCCTACTAATCATACCCGGACCACCCTTTCCGCCAGCGCCCCTCAAGACTATCTCTTCCTACACCAGTGTATGAGCAGAAAATCCGAGAACACCAGGTAAGAACGGTGTCTCTTGGTCTGATAAAGACTAGCATCTCTGAGAGCCATTCTACAAATGTATTCGTTTACCCATTTGTCGGCAGAGCTTGGAAACATTGCTTTTTGAAACTACAATGCCCAGAATCGCACATCCAGCATGGGTCTCTAGGATTTCGGAGAGTTTGACTCCAAAAATCTGAAAAGCTGTATCTGCTTTTACAAGCTCAATAGTCGTGTCCTTGCCAGTTTCTCTCAATCCTGAGAAAGGGTAGTTGGGGTGAAGCTGCGGAGAATTATGTTAGAACTCCTTAATCCATCCAATAAAACCTCTGTTTGCTAAGATTATCATGTGAAATGGCAAACAGGTCTAAAACTTGTGTGTTTATTCCAATCATTTATGTAACAATAAAACATTTGAAGGTGGTTTACAAGAATTACATATGTGTGATGCACCTTGGAGAATCAAGAAATTTGCACAAAATAGCTACCTGTGTCATAAGGATAACTTCCTCTATTTCTGTTCCATGGAATAATTTCTTCTGTCCTAATTTTGGGGGACCCAAGGAAAGTACTAAATGTTCTCCTTCAGTGCGACTCACACTTGCTTTCATTTGATGCAAGACAATGCTGGTTCCATCTTGTGGAAGAACACCCAGCAATGTATAGGTAACTCCACCTATAGAAAAACTATGTTGTAATAGAAGATATTTTGAATTGTGGTGCTGGAGGAGGCTCTTGAGAGTCCCCTGGACTGCAAAGAGAACAAACCTATCCATTTTGAAGGAAATCAACCCTGAGTGCTCACTGGAAGGACAGATCCTGAAGCTGAGGCTCCAATCCTTTGGCCATCTCATGAGAAGAGAGACTCCTTGGAAAAGACCCTGATGTTGGGAAAGTGTGAAGGCAAGAGGAGAAGGGGACGACAGAGGAAGAGATGATTGGACAGCGTCACCGAAAGCGACCGACATGAATCTGACCCACCTCCGGGAGGCAGTGGAAGACAGGAGGGCCTGGCATGCTCTGGTCCGTGGGGTCACGAAGAGTCTGACACGATTTAACGACTAAACAACAACAAAAGAAGATATTTTGTGATTGTGTTATACACAGTGCCACCTGTGGGTGGAGAAGCGTAATGCAGTTCAAGACATATTTAAGCTTCCAGGAACTCCGGAAGTCTCTCAGTAGGAAGAAACAAAGCCCACAAGGGTTGGGTTAGTGCTAGAGCTTGGAAACCTTATTCGTCTACACTGCAACCCCCAGACATTCCCTAGAAAAGGTGGCTGAGGGATTATGGGAGCTACAGTGCAAAAAGGAGCGCCGTGGTGCAAAAGGTGACTTATACAAGTTCTAAGTTGCAGTCATGCTGCAGTATTATGCTACCCGAGGCAGACCCACCAGCACTATCTTCTCAGTACGTTTGTCCCCAACGACATTTTCTTCTTTTCCAAGCAGAATTATTCTTGCACAAGGGGTGGCGACACCAGCAATCTTGGGCTTTCTAGAGACCTTCGTTAGCGACACTATGAGCTCAAGGGAAAGAGGAAAGACTTATCATTGCATTGCTACATTGGCTTAGCCCTAGATCCCCTCTGTACAGGTGAAAAAGATAAAAAGCAATACAAAACTGAAACAACTCCCAACAAAATCCAGCAAACTGCAGCGTTTCCATGGCATATGTGTACCGTTGTACATGTATGTGGAATATTTTAAAATGGTTCCTTTAGCCCTTACACTATTTGTTGTTGTTATTTAATCGTTTAGTCCTGTCCAACTCTTCATGACCCCATGGACCAGAGCACGCTAGGCCCTCCTGTCTTCCACTGCTTCCCGTAGTTGGGTCAAATTCATGTTGGTCACTTCGATGACACCGTCCAGCCATCTTGTCCTCCATCGTCCCCTTGACCTCTTGCCTTCACATTTTCCCAACATCAGGGACTTTTCCAGGGAGTCTTCTCTTCTCATGCGATGGCCAAAGGATTGGAGCCTCAGCTTCAGGATCTGTCCTTCCAGTGAGCACTCAGGGTTGATTTCCTTCAGAATTGATAGGTTAATTCTCCTTGCAGTCCAGGGGACTCTCCAGAGTCTCCTCCAGCACCACAATTCAAACACTATACAACTCTTTAAACATTCCCAGAAGTTTGACAGAGTAGACCATAACAGGAGAGCTGGAGATTGACAGGAGGGTAGTATAAAAGTAATTAGGACTGTGAACGTGAATCAAACTACATCGGATTCAAGGGCCACTGTGGACAATCCACTGAAACAACCAGAGGTCTTCCTGAGATTATCTGAACGCCTACAACTACAGAACAAACTGCCATTCAACCCAATGAAAAGGTTGCACCTTAATATTCCATTTTGCAAGTCAGGAGCAAAGCTGATATGACCCACAACAGTTAAGCTAGCCACTGAAGAGACCTTTTACTGTATTTTAATCACAGAGATGATGCTTCTTGTTGAAATATGGCTCATCCACACCAAGTGTGTGGCTTGGATCCATGTGGGTGGGAGACGTGGTCTCTTCACCCAAACTCCCAAGATCCGGAACCCCACACTCCAAACTTCCATCCCAATATTTGGTCCCGTAGCCTTGCAAAATGGACCACCTTTGTTCATTTCATCTGGGTCCCCTGCCAAAGCTTTCAGAGCACAGTATGAAGGAGGTGAAAGGAAGAGGTTGCTAAACACCAGGAGAATTCTTGCTAGGGAGAACATTTCCACAATTGACATCACGGCTGATGTCAGAGAAATGCTAGCTGCACCCAACCCCATAGGAACTGGGCTTTTGCGAGAGAAAAGAACAAGTCTAACAGATTTGGGAAGGACTGGGATAAACCAAACAAACACAAGTAAGCAAGGAGAAATAATCCTGAAATAGAAGTGACTGGTCTGAGTCTACTGGTAACATCATGCAGATCTCCGACACTCGCCCAAATCAACGGGCGACCGAGCCATCTCTTAAACCGGAGCAAATAGGATGTGAAAACGAGCTGAATTTTCTTCAAGGTGGGGATTATATTTTAAGATTTTAAGAGCTCCTCTGAACATGCTCATATTATCCATAAAGGGGGGGGGGAGCTTCGTTCCCCACTGTGCCTCACAGAAGAGCAAATATGTGCGACCTTGGAAAAGAACAAGCCTGTGTAATTAACTTTTACCACCTCTGCTGATATCTCTGTCATATTTATGGATGGATGGATGTACATAGGTCGGTAGATATGCTTATATTATTTAAAGCCTTTTTATCTAGCTCTTTATTGAAAAGGTTTCTAGGGCTCCTGGTAGTGCGATAATATGAACCAGTAAAAGATGGGGCTTGTTCTCAGTGTGATAATCTTACAGAAACAGAAACCAAAGGAAAGCAGGGGAAAGAGAGAGACAGGAGCAGTGAGTTCTTAAACCTTTTGTTGGGGAAAGTGTGTGGAGAGAAAGACCGGTAAATAACCAGTCCCTCAGTAGAGGTGATGGACCAGCCTGGGGTCTGTCTCTCCAGAATCTGTGGCTGGGTGTGGGGAAGATATTTGCTCCGTTTCTCGGTGGTCCTATTCTGCTTCCATTCCTCACCCCCTGAGTTCTGTGTTAGAAAGACAGGTGGCTAAATGTCTCCAGAGAGAAGCAACCCATGTGGTGTTGGTGGCTCTCTTGACCAGAAATTGGAAACGTGGCTTCTTAAGTCAAAAATAATTTTTTTTTGCACATGCTGTTTCTGCTTTCTTACCCAAATTATGACTGCTAATTAATTAATCACACATGGTCAAGTCCCTACCCCATGGTCTTCTAGGTATAATGTACGGTTCTCAAATGTGGCCAGCCATTCCTTTTTACTGGGGGTGCTCTGGGACGATGTAGGTTGCCCAAGGCTAGCTGGGCTGGCTCTTCTTCTACAAGGCACAGTGGGGAATTCAATGCCTGAGCCTTGGTGCTCCAACTGACTGAGCTACGTAGCCAGTTATATAACCAGCCAATAGGCACCAATAATTTTCAGTGGAAGATGGAAGAAAACTTACACACACACAAACACACCACCGTAGGTCAAACAGCTAGAAGTGGTCCAAAGGACCACAGATGCCAGCCAAGGAGGAATCAGGATGATGAAATGAAGGAAGATTACAGCACACTGAAGTCACAGCTGGATTCTCACTCACTCAAGACTTTTCTGAGTTTAAAAGAATTTCATTTCTACACCTGTCTTCTGTCAATAATTAAAAATACGCTTTGCTTCGGATGGAATTCTTAAAAGATGATAAATCTTTTTGTAAGCCACCCTTAGACCTTTGGGTACTGTGGGCAGCATAGAAGTTAAATAAATAAATGAATGAATGAATGAATGAATGAATGAATGAATGAATGAATGAATGAATGAATGAATGAATGAATGAATGAATGAATGAATGAATGATACAAACAGACCTGAGATTCAGGTGGTTAGGTCTTCAAAGACGTGATACTTTTGATGCTGGGAAGGATGTTAAGTCTCTCTCTCTCTCTCTCTCTCTCTCACACACACACACACACACACACACACACACACACACACACACACACACAAGTACTTCCCATTGTCCAGGGCATCCCTATGTGAGGTAAAATCACAAAAATCACTTGCAAGGGATAAATAAATCTGAATGTGGCAGTTTTTCAGTCCTTTGAGATTACAGATGGCACCAGCTGGTTCGGCCCAGTCCACACAAGTGTTCCATGGGAGCCACACGCTCCTTTCTCTTGCTTCCTCTGCATGCTCAGTGAGCTTCCATGGCTAAATAGGGGTTTAGGGTTTGCTCAAAGTCCCCCTTAAAGAGCGTCATTTTCCAGCTTATCTGTCACGAGAGATAAATTCATTAAAATCGGTGGTGTTGAGTTGTCCATGTGTTACCGCACGTTCAACGGATGTGCTAACTTCTGCCTCATGTTCCCCTCACATTTCTTATGTGTTTTTTGGTGTGTGTGTTTTTTAAGGAGTGCCAGTTTCTCTCAAGCCACCCGGTCTTCTTTCTTCATGAGAAGTGACCCGTCAGTTCAGAAGCTCTCTCAGGGGAATGGACGCTGTATAAATGGGACCGGCGGGCAAGTTCACGGCTTCTACAGTTTGCCTAAGCCAAGCCGGCACAACTCAGAACTTGGGGACGGTGCTTACGACCTTCCGAGGAATTTTGGATGCTATGCCCATACCAAAGGCAGCCTTACAGGCTCTGAAACGGATAGCGAGGAGGTCTACACCTTCAAGACCCCCAACAATACCCTTTGTAAGGGCTTTGGGGAGCTCTCCACAGACTCGTACGACATCCCTGGCACGCCGGTTTATCAGATCCCAAGAGCCTTCACCCTAGACAAGAACCACAATGCCCTGGGAGTGGCTTCGGGCGAAGCTCCTGCAACACCTCCTCCGAGGCCTCCTAAGCCGGGACAGGCAGAGTCCCGGTGGGGCAGCCCCCCGCAGCGCCTGCTGGACAGTGAAGGTCTAAGCCTAGTCCCAGTGACTTGTACCATTCCCAGAAGGAACACACTGCCTGCGGTGGAGAATTGCAGATTGCACCGAGGTAAATATCAAAGTGCAAGTAGAGTCGCCCTTGAGTGCAATGTAACCCTTGACTTGTTGCACAAGCTGACCCATAAGTGGGTTTTTTTTCTTCTTCTTCTTGATGGAGCAAAAGGCATTTTCTTTTGGTCTTGACTGCATTTTTTGCTTTTACAAGAATGAATTTTGTGCAAATGACACACACTTCGTCCAAAACCTACAGTCCTACTGCCTTAGGGCATGGGAGCATGAGATGGGTTGTTCCAGTCTTTTTGATCAGTCATTCAGTCCATTTGAGCATCGTGTTACAAAAGGGGGAAAATATACTACTTTTGCAGAAAGACATTTTGTGCAAATTGCAAAAAGATTAAGGTGGGGAGGAAGCACTTCTCTCATAATGGAGGCACAGAATCTCACTGAAAAGTGCTGTGTCAGGACAACCTGAATCTATTAGAATAAGCTGTTTAGCAAGTATTCTTCACACACCTCCTGCCAACCTAGCAGTTCGAAAGCATATAAAATGCGAGTAGATAAATAGGGACCACCTCGGTGGGAAGGTCACAGTGTTCCATGTCTAGTCACGCTGGCCATGTGACCACGGAAGATCGTCTTCGGACAAACGCTGGCTCTACGTCTTGGAGACGGGGATGAGCACCGCACCTTAGAGTCGGACACGACTGGACTAAATGTCAAGGGGAACCTTTACCTTTTAACCTTCACATCTCTACCCACACTAGACAAGTAATAGATGACTAAGACAGTTTGCAAGGAACCTGCCCATCTCATGATTATTCCATAGAAACATTAATTGCTGTTTCAGTAGATCCTGGAGACAAAATAGGCTTGAAACATATTTATTCCCCATATATCCTCCTGGGTGAATTTTGAACAAGGACAATCAACTGCACATGCTGAAAGGATATCAAGATGGGAGTCAGAAATTTTTGTTCTGTGACATACAAAATAATTTGCATGTGGTCAGGTTCCAATCATCTGCCAGCAAAGAGATTCCCCTTTCTAGAGCATCTACGTGTAGCATAGCAGAAATGTGGCACACAGATGTAGATGTTTCCATATTCTGTGCATTTTCACATGTACTGTAAAAAAAGATTACATTAGAAAGTCAAAGAGTACCTTTATTTATTCCAACTGGACCACATCTTTTTCTGTCCTGAAAGTGACTCTATCTTTTCATTGTCCATCGATTAAAATTTGGTAGGGTTGCAGAACAAATATATTTGATCTGAAATGGGGCTTTCCAGTTAGCTGTGCCTCATAGAAGTATTTGCAGGGGAAGACAGGAGCCTTTGATGTTTGACACCTGATATTCAATTTCAAGATTTGATATTGGATTCCGGAATTTTGCATTTGGTGATTGATACGAACCAGTCGGTTAATTTTCTTCTTGATAGTCCACAGACCATATTGATGTAGGAGGTTGTGGCTGAAATCCTGATGCAGTTCCCCAAAGATTGTAACTTTCAGCAACAAATATCTGTAAGTGAGGACATCTCCATAGCCATGATCTGTTGAACACTGAATCACAAAACACATAATGTCTGTGGAGATTTCTTAGGCAAAAATAAAACAAAAATTAAAAAAAGAAAGACGACAAAAATATGGTGGCACCTTTAAGGCTACCTGCTATAATTTAATGTGAGCTTTTGGGGACAAGTCCACTTCTTCAGACCTCTTAATTTACAGGAGTCTGCCACCAAATGTTCTGCCATTTGGGTAGATGGGCCGCAGGATTCTGGCCCTTAAGTATTTGTTAGTACTTCGGAGTTGGTCCACAATATAATTTAGTACCTGAGAGCTGGCATGCAATGATATTTTGTATTGACAGACATGAAATGAGGAGGCCCAGTTGGCAGTCTTCCTATCTTGAATAGGCCTAACTTCCTGTTTGAAAAGGAGGCTTACCAGCAGTTGTCAAGGCGGTTTCCTTTTCAGATATTTAAGTATTTATTTAGACTCATTTTATACTGCTCAACTTAGTGAAGAGCGCAACTCTTGGCGATTAACGATGGATATAAGAAAATCAACCTTCTCCAGCCGAACACCTCACAATAAACTGCCATCAACAAGACCAGTAAAGATTAAAAACCAAATCCAAATGATGGTGGAACAGGCAACCTGAATCCATAGCTATCACGGGAAGAGAATGGCCTTCAAAAGTTTAGTCTTCAGCATCCGCTTAAAGAGTGGGAAGAAAGAGGAGGGCTGGCCATTCTCTTATGGGAGCCCATTCCATAAAGATGGGGCCATGACTGAGAAGGCTGGACTGACCTAGTCAAGGTCTCCTCCACCTCTCTCGGCATGGCTACCTGTAAGAGCAAGGCCTGGAAGGGATTGGATGGCCCAGGCAGAGCAGAGGGCCTTCAGAGAAGATGCTCTGACCAACAGGAAGTTAGGCCTAGCTAGCTAGGCCTTTCCATCCAGGTGAGCACAATTAGGAATCTGTAAGATGTGGGTCTGACAAGTGGGACGCTCAGAAAGGAGAATGATGATGTTTGTAGTTTGAAAGATCCAAAGTGCACATCCATGTGTCTCATCACTGACAGTGTTGAAGTAACGTCACATTGCCAGTCCATCTGGAGAGTGTATATACCAAATGGGAAGAGAGATGTCCTCTGATCCTTCAGCTTAGGTAACAAATTGGAGTGCTCTGGAGTGCATCGGATCCACCTAGAATAGGGTTTCAGCCTGTGCTGAGCATCACCCCTCAGTGGGTTTTCTAGCAGCACCCATTGAGGGGTGTATCTTGACGAGCCTTCAATTGTTCATTAACTGCAGTTTCAATGCCATTGATTGCAGCTTCTTCCTGTGAGACGTACGAATATCCCCCGCATAGCGGTAGCAGCGCAGTTCAATCAGCCGAGTCTGTGAATATTGGGCTTAATTCATATCTGGTGAGTTATTGCTGCTTGAATAGTTGCCCAAGTTGAGTTTCTCCTGTTTGTTGAATGTCTTACATACTTGCTTGAAGTATATTGCACCCATATTAAAATATGATTAAAATTTGCTGAAGTAAAAATGGGGGCAAGCAGATTGTGTTCAGCTGCTGTTCCTGGTTCACGATAAATCCTATGAATTAAAATTGTCATTGTTGTTTAAAATTTAATCCACTCCATAAACTGGCTTGCCACAGTTCTGAAGAATCTACCTTCCTAGAAACTGGGTAAAAGCAAATATTCAGAGAAATCCATTTCTAGAAGGAGTGCTCCCTCAAGTGGTTCAAAAGGTTGTGATTCTGAAAACACATTAAAAGGGCAAACATGTGGTGCATCAAGTTTATCACTGGAATGGAAACAATGGCGTTCTTTGCATGTCTCATTTTGGACTCACATGTAGCAAAACGTGAAGTTGATGGGTGGAAAATATTATAAGAATAAGAAATATACACTGCATTCATTTTAGACCTCATCATTGATTGTGGCCTCCTTCTTTTGGCTCTCGTGTTACTGAAATTTTTCTTTCTACTCACTTCACAGCAAAACAAGAGTACAGTGGCTCGCTCTCATAGCGCTGACTCAGAGGACAATTACGTTCCCATGAACCCTGGCTCCTCGATCCTGCTCAATGCAGAGAAGTTGAATGACAGCTCCCAGCACCTCTACATCCCCATGAGCCCGGGGCCTCATCACTTGGATTTGATGGGGATGTCCTCTTCGACTCTCCCACTTCATAAAGGGAGCAGCAGTTCCCAGCCCCAGAGGCGGATGAGCGAAATCCAGCCCCCTCCAGTGAACCGCAACCTCAAACCAGATCGAAAAGGTACCGGATCCAGCCCAGCTTTTTTCCTCGTTCAGTGTGCCAAGAAAAAAAATCATTTAAAGAGTACATGAAGGGCCAGGTGAATGATGGAATCCTCACTTTCAGTGCTTCTTGAATTTAATTTCTCTTCAACTTCACTATGTATAATCCTGTATATCCTCCCCATCCATGCATGCAGTATTTATACCTGAAATTCTGGAGAAATTTTATATATTTGAGGACAATATAGTCCTTGTAAGTTTATGCCCAGAGGTTTTGGAAGTTACTGTTCAAGATAATGCATTCATGTCGACCGTTTAACCTGTCAACATTACCGTATTTTTCTGTGTATAAGACGCCCCCATGTATAAGACCGCCCCCACTTTTCTAATCCAAAATTAAGAAATCTAAGCGGGGCTTAGCAAGGGTGGGGGGAAAGGGATCAAAGCGCTGCAGGATCGCTTTGATCCCTGATTTCTCCTCCGCTTGTTTTTGTTCTCTCCTCAGCTTACCTTCATGTATAAGACGTCCCTCAATTTTTAGTCTAAAGATTTTAGACAAAAGTATAGTCTCATACACGGAAAAATACAGTAATTGTTTCAGTTAAGTAAACTGGTTACTTTAATTATGAAGGGAAGAATCCTCTTATGGAAATACAGTGGTGCCCCGCATAGCAACGTTAATCTGTTCCAGATTAATCGTCGCTATGCAAAAAACATCGCTAAACGGATCAAAAAACCCCATAGGAATGCATTAAACTTCGTTTAATGCGTTCCTATGGGACCCCAAACTCACCGTTCACCGAAGTTCCTCCATAGCGCTGCCATTTTCGCACCCTCAGTAAGCAAGGGCAGGACGCGAAAATGGCTGCGGTGGCCATTTTGGGTGTCCGGCGGCCATTTTGGAACCGCTGATCAGCGAAATGCTTACTGATCATCGCAATGTGATGTTTTGCCATTGAAAACATCGCAATGTGATTGCATTAGCGATCTGAAAAAACAGATCGCTATGCGGATTCGTTGTTAAACGGTGCACTCGTTAAGCGAGGCACCACTGTAGGCAGTGTAACATCCAGCAGTCATAGCACCTCCCATAATATCCCTCCTGCAAATGTGTAAGACCAAGATTATCCCATTGAAAACATTCAAAGGATCTATGAGTATTCCCTTGCATAGATTTCGGAAACAACCATTGTGTCTGCAACAGTGAAGCAAAGAGCCCTCGGCCCCAGTTGTTTGTTTTAGAACATTAAAAAGTCAAACTTTTGGTAAGATTATCAAAAGTGGCCAAATATTTTAAGGAATGTCGCATGGAAGTGTTGCAGTTTTGAATTTTTGGTTAAATTTCTCTGTGAATCCCTGCACTAGAAGTGCAGGGATTCACAGAACAGAATAGCTTCAAATTCCCCAGATTAGTTCACCCCCTTCTTTTATCATCTGTCACTTATAATCTCAATAACACTCCAAGACACTAAATAGGAGACACTTCTTACAGATCAACAGCAAAACAAACATAACTGCTTTCAGCAACAGATCTCAGCAGCCTCTAGAGAGGGAAAGAGTTCACTGCAGAGAAGCCGGGCTCTCTTTGAAATTAGAGGCAGTGGAAAAATGATTGGTTAGTGCTGGTGAGATTGACAGTCACCACAGCCCAGAAAAGTCCCTCCCAGCCAAACCTACTAAAGGCAGCATGCGAGGTTGAAAAAATACCCCAAAGCCTGCAACAGGAAGTTGGCTCAAGCTGATCCTATATATAGATCCAGAAGGTCGGGCTTGAAGTAACAGATTTAAATTATGAAAAATGAGAGCTTCTTGATGGTAAGAATTGTTCAGAATTAGAGTGGACTTCCTTTTAAACAGAGGCTTAGATGTCAAGGATTATTTATTGTAGAATTTCTGCTTTGTTAGGAGTCTGGCCTGGATGACACCTGGAGCCCCTTCTAATAGTTTATTTTAGATTTTTTTAAAAACTCAAAGTCACCAAAAATGGCCAAACCCTCCCATGTTGCCCCCAAAAAGTAACCAAGTAGTGTAATGTGAAGTTTTAATCATTGCTCCAACATGTCAACATTGGCACTGTAACAGCATTTTAAACTGTCTAAAAATTGGTGAGTTATCAGTAGAGGATTAATGATTAACCACTTTGCTCATGTAATAATAAATGTGTTAGTAAGATGCCACATGGTTCTGTTGGATTTGCTCAGCCCTGACTCCAGTATCTTTGTGTTACAGCAAAGCCTACACCACTGGATTTGAGGAACAACACAGTCATTGATGAGCTTCCATTTAAATCACCCATCACAAAATCCTGGTCCAGGCCTGGGTGAGTTTGAGATGAATTTGTTCTGTTCTGTGCTTTGCGTTCCACCCTGTTGAAAAGAGTTTGCTCTGTTGCAGTTTTCCTTCTGGGCCTCTTAAGGTTCACGGTCAGTCATAGATGGCATTGTCTGCATAGCCATTGAAGCACACGGTCTTGGTTGGTGGGTTGGTTGGTTGGTTGGTTGGTCGGTCGGTCGGTCGGTCGGTTGGTTGGTTCAACGTCCAGGGCACCCACGGGCCTACACAGAGTTGTGAATCATTTGTCCTCACCATGCCTACTTAGATGCTGAAGCTTTGCAAATACAGGCCCTGGACATCTTTCAGATACAGAAGACGGACGCAATAACATTATAATGTGTAGATGTTGGCTGGACTTGGTGGATTGGTCTTACATTGTTGCAGGCAATGAGCCACGATCTTCTAGTTCTGGACACACGGCAGTCTAATGTAGGAGGCAGTGGCATAGCATGGGTTGCCAGTACTCAAGGCAAGTCGAGTATGGTGCCCCCTAGATGGCAGCTCCCATGCGCCACGGTGTGTCTATGCGTGTACCCTCCCATTCAGCCACCAACGGGAAGAGCCAGGCAGGGGTACGGGCCATGACATTCCCATTCCCGCCAGCATTCAATGGCCAGCGTTGGCCATCCAGTGTCAGGGTTCGGTAGAAGAGGCACCAGGACCCAGTCCAGGGTGAGACTACAGGAACAAGGCAGAGTCAACCTCACAGCCCAAGCAGAGACCAACCCACTGGGGTTTTGAGTCCAAACAGCAGCTGGGTAGAAGGATGATGCAAATCATGGTTAGACAGTCCATGGGGTCAAAGCCAGGAGGAACTGTATCAAGGCAGCAGGGTCTAGGGTTGCAGGAGAGGCAAGGCAGGAACCACCAGACAAGGCAGGAACAACAGCACAGCCAGAGAGCTTCATGGCAAAGGTCTGTGGGAAAGGCCTGTTCTTATATAGCCCAGCCCAGTCTTGCAAACTGTACAGCAGTTTTCCCCAGAGAGATGGGGCCAATTCTGCCTGCACTAAAGTTGCCAGCTTCCAGCAAGGCCCCAGTCCTGACATCCAACTGGCTAGCCAGTAGTGGGTTCAGCTGGCCCACTGCGCCTCCAGGGAGCAGGGTCGCCCTTGGGCAACAGATGCTTGAAGGCAGCTGCAAGGTGTCTGCAGCCAGGGCCATGCACACATGGGGTGGGGTTAGGGTAGAGCAAAGGGTCAGCCTAAGGAGGGCAGCTCCATGTATTGAGGAGGGCTCCAGACACGAATGACTCTGGCATGCTCCACCACAGATAAGACAGAAATGTGGTGCACTGGGTGATGCATCAGCCAGGCATAAATACAGCCATGGTGTGGGTGCTGCTGGTCCCACCCCCTTGTCAAGTGACCAGGCTCCCCAATGGCAGCCCTGAAATTTCGCAATTTTGCACCCCTAAGAATGTTGTGGCCAGGGCAGCCAGGCCATGTGGCACCGTCTCCTCCAGCATCTGATGGCTAGCGCTCATCCTTAGCAACCACTCCCGGAGGCAGCTGCCTCACTCCGTCTAATGGCTGGGCCTGGCCCTGCGACTTCTCTGTAACCCTGAAA